ATTCAGGTTCGGCAGAGCTAGAGCCCCAGGAAGCCTCGTCCGAAGTACAAATACTATTGAGTCGAAGGGGAGCGAATATTACGACGGAAATTCCGGCGAGAGTGATGCTCGAGGTTGACGGGGAGCGAGGGGTAGGAGACTGGCGGAAAGAAGAGAAGGAGGAGATTACAGTGAGGCACAGGGGGAGGGGGAGGGAGAGGCGGAGGCGGAGGCGGAGGCGGAGGGAGAGGGGGAGGGGGAGGGAGAAAGTGAGGGGGAGATGGAGGCGGGAGATGCGGAGGAGAAGGGGGAGCGGTGATTACAACGACTCGGCTGATAAGGCGAGCAAGCAGAGGGGGATTCATCGTCGTCTTCCGCCTTCCCTTCCCCCAGCTCGTTCATTCCGCTTCCGCCCGTGTCGGCGGGGGATGCGCACCCTCCCCCCGCGCCCGTCAAGGAGCAGTTTTCTGTGGCGCAACCCGCGCAGCCACGGCTACGCCAAGTGCAATGCGGAGGGCAAAAAGGGCGCCGCGCTCAAAGGTGAGGGGGGCGGAACAAGAGGGAGGGGAGGGGAAGCGGAAGAGGGGGTGCAGTGAAGAAAGCGCAGAGCGATGGGATTTGTTCACGCGAGAGCCTTTTGGCATGGGAGGCTGCTGAACAATCCTAGGGTTGAATTCTGTCGGACCCTTTCCCCCCATACTTGCCCCACTCCCCGCATCCCCACAACTCTGTTGCAGAGCCTTACTAAACTTCTCCTTCTCCTTCCTTGTATCGCCCCGGTTTCGCAGGTCGTCGCAAGGGCAGTCGCGGTCCTCTTCACAGTCGCCTGCGGGGGTGCGTTTTGAGTCGATTCAAAAAACATGCCTTGTATCGCCACGGTTTCGCAGGTCGTCGCAAGGGCAGTCGCGGTCCTCTTCACAGTCGCCTGCGGGGGTGCGTTTTGAGTCGACTCAAAAAACATGCCTTGTATCGCCCCGGTTTCGCAGGTCGTTGCAAGGGCAGTCGCGGCCCTCTTCACAGTCGCCTGCGGGGCCGCCCGGCGAAATCCGCCGTGGAGCAGGCGGCGCGCGCGATGGCTATGGCGGAGTGGGAGCGCAAGGTGCAGGACCCCGCGCAGCGGAAGCGCGTGCTTATATTGATGAGTGACACTGGCGGGGGCCATCGCGCGGAGCGCGGAGGCTCTGAAATCGACGTTCGAGATGGAATTCGGGGATAAGTACGATGTTAACGTTGTCGACTTGTGACGGATCACACGCCATGGCCGTTTAACCAACTCCCCAAGAGCTATAACTTCCTCGTGCGACACGAGACGCTCTGGAAAATGACCTACTATGCAACGAAACCCAAGTTCGTGCACCAGCCGCAGATGGCGGCGACGTTTGCGTTCGTCGCGCGGACGGTGTCGAAGGGGTTGGATAAATACAAGCCGGACGTGATGGTAAGCGTGCACCCTTTGATGCAGCATGTTCCGTTGCGTGTGCTTAAATCGAGGGGCCTTTTACACCGCATCCCGTTCATCACTGTAGTCACGGATCTCACCACCTGCCATCCGACATGGTTCAACCGACGAGTCAGCGTTTGTTTCTGCCCGACAAAGGAAGTCGCGCAACAAGCACTTAAAGCCGGACTCCAGCCCTCGCAAATCCGAGTGCACGGGCTTCCCATGCGCCCCGCGTTCGCCAAGCCTTCGGCACCCCAGGCCGAGGTTCGGCAATCGCTAGGTATGGATCCGGAGCTGCCAGCGGTGCTGCTGATTGGGGGAGGCGAAGGCATGGGGCCAGTTTAGGCGACCGCGAGGGCTCTGGTGGCAAGACTGGCGCCGGAAACGCCAGGGGGGAGAGCGAAGGGTCAGCTGATTGTTATTTGCGGGAGAAATAAGCAGCTTCAGGCGACTTTGGAGGCTATGACGTGGCCCATACCGACGCAGATCAAGGGGGTGGTTACCAACATTTCCGAAGTCATGGCAGCTTCAGACTGCGTCATCAGCAAGGTGTGTAGAAGTGTTACACGGAGCTGCTATTATGGTTCTTGCTCACTCTGCTCATAAGTTTGCGTCTGTGTTTGTCTATTTCTAGCATTGCACTCATCCTGTCACTCCGTCCATTTGCCATCTGTCCGCTTGTTTTCTGTACAGGCTGGTCCTGGCACCATTGCAGAGTCGATGATCAAGGGCCTACCCATGATCTTGAATGACTTCATAGCTGGCCAGGTCAGTGTACCTTCAAGTTCCTCCTCTTCCATCAGTGCCTCATTCATTGTGCATGTATTTGCTGCTTGATTAGCTGCTTCTTTGTACTGCCAGCCTGCTCACCTTCTCTCTTGTCTGTTCCTTGTTTGTTACAGGAAGCTGGCAATGTTCCCTTCGTTGTCAAGAACGGTGCTGGGTTGTTCGAGGAGAATCCCCAAAAGATTGCCCAAATAGTGGCCGACTGGTTTGGACCCAAAGTGGATCAATTCAAGCAGATGGCAACGAATGCTCGTCGATTAGCCCGACCCGACGCAGTGTTCCGGATTGTTCGCGACCTCGATCAACTAACAAACCGACCTCACACCCTTGATAATGTCACATTTGCCTATTCTTGAGCCACGCATGGTGGTGTCTCCCCTGTGAGGGGACTTTGTCTTCTGCAGGGAAGTCTTGCTTGATTATCCACTTTAGATGTGCCCGTGCTATTCTAACCATAGAATGCCTTGGAGCTCAAGCTGCGAGGTTTTGTACGAAATTAGAAACCACCGTAGGATCTCTGCCATGCTAGTGTATGTTAATTGCATCTGATTCATTATATGCTTCATAAAACACTCCAGTGTCGTTATTCCAATGGTAATTTATGTAGAAAGCGGGCCTGGCGTTTTTGTCCCCTTATGGTCTTTGCGCCATTTCTGGTGGAGAATGGCACCGACCAAATGTTTTTCGGCCAGCTATGCGATCTTCCCTAGACCCAGGCCATCCAGCCTGGCATGTCGTTACACCTGATGCCTGTTTGAGCCCCTCCCGGTTGCCTTGTGAAGGGGGCGTATAAGCTGTACCGAGGCATTTCGCTTAAGTTCGTCATTTCGCAGCTAGCAAAAAAAGGGTTCGCATGTGCTTATAACCAAGACCCTGCTACCTAGTTACCTAGTTTGACTTCAGTCTCTTCTGCTTGACTTCGGTCTCTTCTGCTTGACGCGCTTGTAATGTGGGTGCATGAGGCTGGGGAAACAACCTCGGGTGCAGCGTATCCATCTGGCGCAAGGCAAATTCGCGCATGGGGTGAGCATCAGCTGTACATATTTTTTGAAGCAGGGACGTTTTGGTTACGGTGACGTGACGTGACGCTCCCCCAACTTGACCAGCCACGAAATGGTCCAACGACTCGATCAAATCGACGCTGTAACGCAACGCGCCGCAAGCTCTTTGGCCAGCAAAATAAAGGAAGCAAGATACGATTCGTCTGGTCTGGAGTCAGGGTGGTCGCTGCAACGTGGGAATGAAAGCAAAAAAGGACGGGTAGTCTAATTTGTAGGTTTTGGAAGGCAGGTGAGGAGGTGATTCAAGGTTGTGTGGGGTGAGGAGGAGGATCCCGCCCTTCTCAACACTTCCTGCCACTCGTGCTGCACCTCAGGCGGTCAATGGTACCGTATCCCAGTCCCCCCCGGGCCCGGGTCTCCTTGGTTGGCTCCTTGGTTGGCTCTCCTTGGGCTCCGATGGCGGCCCTGAGGTGAGGAGGATCAAGATTCGATGTTGATGGGCCTTGTTTTACAGAACATGCCACACCACAGTACAGAAAAATTCGCTACAATATTAACAATTGCGTAGGACATGAAGCTTGACAGGTTTAGCATGTATTACATAGCTTCATCTCCATAAATAGATGTATTGTACCCCACGGCAACCAATATGTTGCTAAACCATGAAGTAGAAAATGTCAAGATGCTCATGCGATCATGTTTGTGGCCTCAGCTTCCTCAACAAGCTCCACAAGTTGTCGAGCAACTTCTTTCTCCCTACCGACCACCACTGCAAGGTGGTTCCCTCCCCGAACCTCCAGCAGCTTCACGTTCGGATGACGCCGAACCAACCCCCTGCTTGATTCGATCGGGCACAGCTTATCTTTGTCACCATGCACTATAGTCACAGGAACGCTCCTGCTGCATAATTTACTGACCTCTGCTACAGTACCCGCTGATTTGGTCTCGCTACAAGCACCACTGCTTGTAGCGAGGACATTTGTGGGGCTCTGGTTGTGCAGTAGGCGCAGGGAAGGTTCCAGGAAGTTGGTACCAGCGCAAATGGTGTTGAAGAAGCAGTGCCAGGCAGTGTGATGTGTGCAACGGGTGAAATCCCGCACGAAGGAGGGTGGGAGCCTGCCATAGAGAGAGGAAGGGAAATTTGGGGGGACAGAGGAGTGAGAAGAAGCAGTGCCAGGCAGTGTGGTGTGGGCAGCGGGTGAAATCCCGCACGAAGGAGGGCGGGAGCCTGCCATAGGGAGAGGAAGCGAGCAGTTGGGGGGGCATCGGGACTAGCATGAGAGAGGGGAGAGTGAGGGAAGGGAGCATTTCCAGTGCCACACAGTGTGGTGTGAGTGACGGGTGAAATAATGCATGAAGGACAGAGGCAGCACGAACCAAAGGGAGGGAGCGACGGGACTAGCATGAGAGAAGGAAGTTCGGAGCATTAGACGTTCCCACCCAAACCACTCAAATTCTCCCACTCACTCAGGCTTCCCCAACCACAACCCACACTAACTCGGCGCCTTTTGAGGCGCCTCAAAAGACAACCCCACACTCACTCGGCGCCTTTTGAGGCGCCTCAAAAGACAACCCCACACTCACTCGGCGCCTTTTGAGGCGCCTCAAAAGACAACCCCACACTCACTCGGCGCCTTTTGAGGCGCCTCAAAAGACAACCCCACACTCACTCGGCGCCTTTTGAGGCGCCTCAAAAGACAACCCCACACTCACTCGGCGCCTTTTGAGGCGCCTAAAGACAACCCCACACTCACTCGGCGCCTTTTGAGGCACCTCAAAAGACAACCCCACACTCATTTGGCATTTACGTGGGGCAGCAGCAGAGCAGCGAGGGCGTCCGTGAGCCAATGAAATTGCGCCAGCATGGCGCAAAAGACCCGGCCCACGTGCTCGAACCACGACATGACGCTGATGCCAAAGAGGAGTGCAGAGTTAGACACTCACACTCACTTACACCTCCCCACTCACTCACTGAGACTTCAACACTCACTCAAAGACTTCCCCTCCTACAGCCTCTAACTCACTTGGATTTCACACGGGGCAGAAGCAGCAACGCAAGCGAATCTGAGAGCCAATGGAATTGCGACAACAAGGCGCAGATGACTCGGCCCACGTGCTCGAACCACGACATGACGCTGATGCCAAAGAGGAGTACGGGCGAGAAGCAGCGCGGGGTGACCAGCTGGTAAAACTCCTCTGCTGGCGTGAGGCCTGGGCGGGGAGGGATGTAGGGCTGGGGAACAGAACAGCGAGGAACGGAAGAGAAGGCGAAAGGAAAGGGAGAGGTCGAGACTGAGGCAAAGCGGCTCACACACCATCCCCTCCCTGTTTCCCCACGTGCTCGAACCATGACATGACGCTGATGCCAAAGAGGAGTACGGGCAAGAAGCAGCACGGGGTGACCAGCTGGTAAAACTCCTCTGCTGGCGTGAGGCCTGGTCGAGGGGGTATGAAGGGCTGGGGAACAGAACAGCGAGGAACACAAGAGAAGGAGAAAGGAAAGGGAGAGACTGAGACTGAGGCAAAGCTGTATTCTGAAGAAGTCGTTGTGGGAAGCGGCTCTCACACACACAACCCCCTCTCTCTTCCCACCACGTGTTCGAACCATGACATGCCGCTGACGCCCATGAGCAGTGCAGGGGAGAAGCAGCGCGGGGTGACCAGGCGGTAAAATTCCTCTGCTGGTGTGAGGCCTGGCTGGGGAGGGATGAATGGCTGGGGAAGGGAAGATAGAGGAATGGAAAGGTAAACGAGAGGAGAGAGAGTGAGAGATTCGAGGCAAAATGGTTTTCTGAAAAGGCCATTGTGGGAAGAGGCTTTTTTTCTTTAGGCGCCTCAATGAGAGTGAGAGATTCGCGGCAAAACGGTTTCCTGAAGAGGCCATTGTGGAAAGCGGCTTCTTGAAGAGGCAGAGAGGCAGAGAGCCATTGCGAGGCCAAAACCGCTGCTTCCAGGCAGCCATGCTGTGGCAGCAACCTTGCATCCCGGCAACCTGCTAACCCAACACCGAGAGAGGTTTTCTCACGGGAGAGTCGAGGCAGAGAGACACCACTCCGTCCTGGTGCAAGCAGCGAGAACGGCAGCTATCAGGCACCCCATGCTGTGCTCCCCGTCTTGCGTCCTGCCAACCAACCTGCTATTCCTATACTGGAAAAGTGGGTTACTCACAGGGGAGTAGAGGCAGACTGACACGACCCGGTCTCGGTTGCGGGCAGCCAAAACTGCAGCTATCAGGCATCCCATGCTGTGGCCCCAATCTCCTGCCTACCTGCTGCTACTTCAATACCACAAGCACGGGTTACTCACAGGGGAGTAGAGGCAGAGAGACACCACCCGGTCTCGATTGCGAGCAGCCAGAACAGCAGCTATCAGGCACCCCATGCTGTGGCCCCAATCTTGCATCATGTTAACCAACCTGCTATTTCGATACTGGGAAAGAGGGCTACTCACAGGCGAGTAGAGGCAGAGAGACAGCACTCTGTGGCGGTTGCGAGCAGCCAAGACTGCACCGACAAGGCACCCCATGCTGTGGCCCCAATCTCCTGCCAACCTGCTGCTATTCCAATACCACAAGCGCGGGTTACTCACAGGCGAGTAGAGGCAGAGAGACAGCACTCTGTGGCGGTTGCGAGCAGCGAGAACGGCAGCTACCAAACACCCCATGCTGTGCTCCCCGTCTTGCGTCCTGCCAACCAACCTGCTATTCCTATACTGGAAAAGTGGGTTACTCACAGGCGAGTAGAGGCAGAGAGACACGACCCGGTCTCGGTTGCGGGCAGCCAAAACTGCAGCTATCAAGCAGCCCATGCTGTGGCCCCAATCTTGCATCATGTTAACCAACCTGCTATTTCGATACTGGGAAAGAGGGCTACTCACAGGGGAGTAGAGGCAGACAGACACCACTCTGTCCCGGTTGCGAGCAGCCAAGACTGCACCGACAAGGCACCCCATGCTGTGCCCCACAACGTGGAAGGTGGAGATGTTAAGTGGGGCGATAACCGTGCGCTCTATCCAGCTGTTTGGGGGAACGAGGTGGGAAGGAGGGGGGATGGGGGGAATCTAAAGGGGAGCAGCCAAGTCTGCTGCTATCAGGCAGCCCATGCTATGGCCCACGATGTGAAAGGTGGAGACGTTAAGCAGAGCACGCACTGTGCGCTCTATCCAACTGGTAAGGGAGAAAGGGGAATGGGTGAAGAGAAAGGGGGAGGGGAGAGGATGCGCACAATATCTCAGTTTGGAGCTCCTGCCCCACCCCAGCTGATCACTAACCTCGCATTCGCTATAGTCACACCAGACCCCATGCTTGCCTCACCTGACGTGCTCCTCAATGCTATAATCACAGTCCCTCGGCTTGGGGCTCTTGCCCCACCCCAGCAGGTCAACCGCCACCACTCGCCTGCCCTCCAGGAAGCTCTTGGGAAGAAACGGCACAGCGGTGTCGGTCCAAAAGGAGGAAGCAGCGCAGAAGCCATGCAGCAGGAGAACTGCGGGTTTCTCCTTGCATTCAGCATCCAGGAGAGGGGATGTGGTGCTGCTGCTGGCGGCAACTGTAGGCTTCTCGCCTCCAACTACACTACTTCTGACCACACCCCCTTCAACCACACTCCCTCCAACCGTACTCCCTTCCACCACACTTCCTCCCACCGCACTCCCTCCCACTGCACTCCCTCCCACTGCACTCCCTCCGACCGCACTCCTTCCGACCAAACTCCCTCCCACCACGGTGAAATGTAGCGCCTGCCTCTCATACGCATCACTGCACTCCTGGCAGTAACAGTCCGTCCATCTGCCTCCCACCCTGCCGGACCCAACTTCACCAGACCCAACCGCACTAGACCCAACTTTTCCCAACCCAACCGCAATACCAACTGGTGTATCTGCTGCTGCTGGAGCTGCTGGTACTGATTTCGCTGCTACTCCTGCTGCTCTCCGTCCTTCGTTCGTTACCAGTGTGTCTGCGCCTGTTGGAGCATCCTCTGCACCATTTGCATCCCACTGATTTGAGGGTTCCGGCCGTTCAGCTTCGTAGTTATGGCAGTGGTGTTGCCGCTGCTGCTGCCGCTGCGGCTGCGGCTGCTGTTCGTGCTGCTGATGCGGCTGCTGGCGGTGATGCTGCTGCTGCTGCTCCAATTGGTGCTGCGTCTGCTGGTGGTGGTGCTGCTGCTGGTGGTGAGGGAAGGAGAAATGCGGATGGCGAATGGAGCCATGCGACAATACGTCCGGGTCAGACCAAAGAGGATGGCAGTCCCTGCTGCTGCAACCGTCAGCAGCACCAATGCCAGCACAAATGTCAGCATCAGCAGCAGCACCAACCCTACCAGCACCAGCAGCAGTACCACCAACGCCAACCTCTACACCTCTCTCTTCCCCGAAGCAACCATCACCGTTACAAAGACGTCTTTTGTCCACATCTCTTCCTTCCTCCTCCTCCTCCTCTTCCTCTTCCCTCCGTTCTCCCTGCGCCCTGCTTTGGTTCGCCCCAGGCCACTTCTTGAGCTGCCGGACACCGCACCCCTGCTCGAGCTGCTTCGGCCCAAGTGACTGAACATCCAGCAGCAGACCACCAACGTCAACCTCTACACCTCTCCTGTTACAAAGACGTCTTTTGTCCACATCTCTTCCTTCCTCCTCCTCCTCTTCCTCTTCCCTCCGTTCTCCCTGCGCCCTGCTTTGGTTCGCCCCAGGCCACTTCTTGAGCTGCTGAACACCGCACCCCTGCTCGAGCTGCTTCGGCCCAAGTGACTGAACATCCGGCAGCAGACCACACCACTGCAGGACTCGCATCGTCCTCCAGTCCAGGGAGAACGGCAGAGAAACTCTCGCAGTTCTAAGCAATCCAAAGTTGAATGAAACCCGCCACTTGCGAAAAAAACAGGTCCGGGGCGATGCTGGGGGGAATCAGGCTCGGCATAGCTCCGGACGAGAAGACGCTTCCAGCAGCGTTTGCACCGAAATCACCCGAACGAGCTGCGCCGGAAATTGATCTTCCACTGCTGCTCCCGCTGCTGGTACTGCTCCTCCTGCGGTTGCAGTAGCAGGGCGGAGCGTTTTCGCCAGCCAAACGGTCAAGGAACCAGAATACGTAGCAGAGGAGGAAATCGAGGAGGTCGAGGCAGAGGAAGAAGAGGAAGCATGCGGCCTCCCCTGCTGCTTCTGAGGCTCTGCGCGCTGCTTCTCTGGCCTGATGGGCCGTTTTTCTGGCTGCAGATGCTGCTGTTGCTGGTGCTTGGCGTATGAGATGGCGGCATCGAGAAGTGATTGTGCGCACGAGCCTGATTATCCGAGCCAGCCGGGTTGGCTTGGTAGGGTGAGAGAGAGAGTGCGTGAGCCGGCGAGAGGGAGTGTGGGGGCGAGGGTGAGTGTGAGAGGGAGAGTGAGGGTGAGGGTGAGAGTGAGAGTGAGAGTGAGAGTGGGAGTGGTTACTTCGCTTTGGATGAGTCATTGCATGTTTTGATTGGTGCTGGTCGGCCTTCAGATTGTGAATGTTCTCGTGCTGACACGTGTCATGGTGCGCAGAAGTTTCGTGTGACGTGCTACTGCGGGACGTGGAATGCTGTATGCTGACATAATCCGTCACGGTGTCGTGTGACGTGGCGGAGCGAGGGCTGGGAGGGTGTGACGTGGCATGTTGTGAAGTGGCATGATGAGACGTGTCAGAAATTGATGGATGGCGTGGAGCCATTGCCCTGAACAAAAGAGGACGAGCCAATCAGGACTGAATGGTATGCGAAGAGCGGGATAGACTATGTAAGTGAAAGATTTTCCAGTTTAAAATCGACGAAGGGAATGAGGGTGAGAGAGGAAGGATCATTCAGAGATAAATAGCTCGGAGGAGGAATGTGAATTAATAGGAACTCTACAGCGGAATATGGGGCTAGGAACGTCTCTCAACGGAAATCTGTAGAGGAATAAAGAATCAACAGGGCTCAAAACGCCGGCTTTGTACGTTCAGGAATGACCGCACCATGTGATTGGGGAAAACAGGAATGAAAATCTAACGGCTATTTGCGCGACGAGTAATGAGTCAATGTGACCCTCGCTTCCACATCATCGAAAGTTAAGGAACCAGCTGTGAAGAGAAAGCTCGAGTCTCTTAGTCTTTCAACTCTGAGGAGAAAGCTCGAGTCTCCTAGTCTTTCGTCTACAACCTACGGGGTTAGTCTATGGTGATACCGTCTCTAGCGAACTGATCCAGTCTGGAGCACAGGTGCTTTGGGGGGTACTCATTCATGCACTGGTCGCTTTGGACGGTGCAAAAAGGTAATTCACGGTCAGGAACTTTTCTGCAGTTTAGCGTTTTTAACCTTCCTGCGCTGGACTGAACCGTTGGAAGTGAATTGCGCTGGGGACAGCCCCCCCTCACGAATGGTTGTGTGGCGAGCCTGACACCAGAAAAAATGGCGGGAAAATATCACCCGCTGTTTTGGAGTTCGAGTGAATTAGTGGTGAAGAAGGATGCGCTGAAATTTGTGGACATCGAGAATCCCTGTGGTGGATCTGTGCTGATGAGAGTCGCCAGTTCATAAATCGCGCACTCCCAACAAAATCGCGTTGTAAGGAATTTTCTTGGCATTCCTTACAGAGCCCAACTACATCGCTTACAGCAACAGCAGATGTTTGCCCGTTACTACTAACGAGACTTCGCCAACTTCGCGCGCACTGTTTTGCCAAACCTTGCGCTGCTGGCCCGGCCGTGTCGGCCTACGCTTCGGGACTAGCCCAAGCCTCGCTGCCAGCGTAGCACTAGCTAGCTCGCACGCACCTTAGCACCTAGGAGCCGTTGTCCTCGCGTTCTCTCGAAAACGCGTGCAGCCACGACTACGCCTAGACTAAGACGAGCCGACACCCTTCGAAATGGGCGAGCACATTGATATCACGCAGGAGCACTTGAACGATCTGCTGCGGCAAATCCGCGAGAGCGCCGAGGACATCGCGACGCTGACGGCAGAACGCTCCTCCCTGCAAAATGACCTCACACGAGCACAACAGGCACAATCTCAAGCACCTGGCACGCCGGAACAGCCCGCACCACAGGCATCACAATACGGAAGCGTGGGGCAACCCGAGAGCGCGGTCACTAATGGCGTTGTCCACCCCGACGGAGACGACGACCAATGCACGACACACCCCGAAGCGACGAATGCGGCCCAAAGCCAGCCACGCGTCACAATTTCGGCACCAACCGACGGTTCGGCACTGCCGTCACCGATGCCGCTGAAGCCGCAGCGTCCGCCATGATTCGATCCCAGCCAACGGGGTGGTCCTACCGTTCAGGCGTGGTTGTTCACGATGAACGTGTTTTTCGACGCCAACTACGTCTCGGAGGATACGGCGAAAATCCGCTACGCCGTGTCGTTGCTGTGAGGACCCGCCATGGATTGGTGGCGCGTCATCGTCACGAAGTCGTTAGACTACGCGACTCTACCGACACGGGAAGGACAAACCGGACCCTAGGCGCCGTCGTATTTCGTTGAGGTGCCCCAGTATCGCACGTCGGACGCGTGGTGCGCAGGTCTGCGCGCTCGTTTCGAGCCAATCGCGGCTTCGATCGCGGCGCGATAGAAGCTCCGCACATGGCACCAACTCGGTTCCGTCCAAGATTACACGAGCGGATTTCTGGCGTTATGTGAGCAGGTGGGATATATGCACGAGAGCGAGCGCATCGACCGCTACATCGGCGGCCTGAAGCAGGACATCGCTCAGGAAATCCAGCTTCGCGGCGTCACCGACTTTCAAGAAATTCTCGCTATGGCAGAGAAACTTGATTTATTCCGCCGACCGAGACCGGGGTCCTACGGAAGCAGCCATTGGGGACATCGGCCTCGTGGGACGAACGAGGGCGCCACGATACGTGCCGTCGCCGCAAATGCTGCTGCCGCACCATTCAAAGGGCTCTGCTTTGCGTGCAATCAGCCGGGACATCATAAGAGCGAATGCCTGGAAAACGCTAAGGGAAAGGGGGAAGCTGAGCAGCAGAAACACACCAAGCAGCAGGGAAACGCTGGGAGTAAGTAGCAGACGGGCCCTCTATTGACAGGTCACGCCGCTCGCCCGACCCAACCGACCTTCACCGAGTGATTGTGCCAGTTCACGCAATCGACCACACTCGGCCGAATAAGGAGGGGACTACGGTAGACAGCCCCATACTGCTTAGTGGGAAAATTGGGACGGACTAAGTAAAAATCTTCGTAGACGGGGGAGCCAGCCACAGCCTCATCAACACTGCCACAGCACGAGAACTGCGACTGCCACTGGACAGATGCTTACCTGAGATCGACGCAAGACTGGTAGACGGTACGCCGCTGGCGATACGGGAACGCGTAGACCGGGTTCGGATTCGATGAGGGGGTAACTTCACGTTTCGCCAGGAAATGCTCACAACGACCCTCGACAGAACCGATATTTTACTCGGGCGTGATTGGCTGCGACGACACAACTCGCGAATTGACTGGACGACGGGTGACTGCACCGTGCGAGTGAATAGAAACAACATCGCCTTACCTCGCTGGGGCTCGCCTGAGTCTTCGTCGGTGCGTGTCAACGCGATCACGATAAAACGTGCCGTAGCGGCAGGAGCGGACGTGTACGCGGTCGACATTCGAGAAGCCGAGGCAGCAGGCAAAGGAGGGGATTTACAGAAACTGCTGGCCGACGTACCGAGTGACCTGGCGGCACTGTTGAAGCAGTACAACGACATTTTCCTGGAAGTTTTACCCACGGGACTGCCACCTCAGCGACCGCACGACCACAGGTAGAGTTAGAACCGGAGGCACAGCCAACAGTACA